TCTGTATCCAGCAGGAAGATGTGCAGTGCAGCGGATTTAACTCATCATGCAGGGTCAGTCCAAGATTGTATGAGGCCTTGAGCAGAATTTTATTTAGGGGCCCCTCTTGCTACTAAGCACCACTAAAATCATTTCACCATGGATTTAGATAAATATTGTTGAGAGAATAAGTATTAAAAACCTCTCTTATGCCCGTTGTCGTATTTCTCTCATGGCTACGTCGTTTGTATCAACAGAAACCATAGAGACAACAAATCAAATCGCTGTTCAAGTACGATCATAGAGAATTATTGAACAATCAAATGCATAAAGTTTCAGCTCATCATAATCATCCGAAACCACCTACCAATACATAATTACCTGAGACAAAGACGGAATACAGAGACACATTTTCAAGACAAACGCATCTCAAGAGCAACACATGGTGCTCTGCCCTAACATTTCCAGGCACCCTCTTTTGTTCAAGAAGGTGTGTTCTCCTCTGTACCGTATGTAAATTAGGGGAGTGCCTTTAGCGGCATGAAATAAGATTTACGACTGTGGAAAGTCTGTTTTTTCTCTGAACTTTAAGAAGTTTTTGTCTCTTTCGTGAGACATAATTTTATGAGTTCTTATCCAAACACAGGGAGAAAGCTTTATGTTCAGAGATGTTCTCATGTCTCTGTGTATGCTTGCTGGGTTCACAGAAAGGCTAAGACACATATAAATGGTCCTTTGACCCTAGACACATAAGTTTGCAGTGTTCTCACATACTTATATTCCAAAAGCATACAGGCTTAGTTTAAGCTAAGACGATCTCCGTGACACACACATTTTCTAATAAATGCATAACTTCCATAGTGATCATGGCTGTAATTTAATATAGAAAACTGCAGTTTAAACTACTTTTAATCAAATCATGGTAATCTAACAAAACTATTCTAGTGATGAAATTATATTGATTGAAGCATGAATTTAAATTTAACTTAAATTTGGGCCTATTTAAAACAATGTTAATTTTGTCTAAAATTTAAATGTGATTTAAAATTAAAGCTAACATTAAAATTAGCATAATTAAGCTAATAATTCCAACAATATGCGACAGGGGCCTTGTTTAATGGACAGTGTTCATAGTTGAGCATTGTTTACTGTTAATCCTTGCCTTAATTGCTATCTTTAATAGTGCAGACAGTTGTGGTTTCTGACATGGGCAATATGGGCAACCGCCCAGGGCGTTATCTTTTTAAGGATGCCTGGAGACCTCTGCGGATTGTGGCACAGAGATGGAAACAAAGCAGAATTTAGAAGAGTTTGAATTGATACTGGTTACATTTATTTCAGCTCTAAGTATTTAATAGGTGTTTTATGGGAATGTGGATCTTTCAGATCAGTTTGAGAACCAATTTTGATAGGTACACTTAATTTTATTGTGTCATGTAGTGCAGGGTGCTGGTCTTGACTTGGCATTAGGTGGTCTTGACTACAACTCTGCTACGTGGCTCCTTGGTTCCATGTCCTCCCCCACCCACCTTCTTCCCATCCCCTTTCTGTTGGATTTCTTTAAAAATAAATGCCACTAGTGGCAAAAAAAGTGAAGTTTATGCTATGTTAGGACAGGAGACAAGATGTTTTCATCCCTGAAATTATGATGCATAGAATCACATATCTAAGTCTAAACTATGTTACAGAGAGTAAACACAATAAAAACATGCTTTATCTGTGGCATTGTTCATTAAAATGGCACATTACTAATGTATTAAAATTAAATACAATAGGCACACTTAATGATATTTTATTAACGATTAGGTAATGCATTCAGCAAGTACTTTTACTTTTAATGCTTAAGTATTTTTAAAAGCCAGTACTTTTTTACTTTAACTTAAGTACAAATGTTAATGTGGTACTTTTACTTAAGTACATTTTTTGAGTACTTTATCAACCACTGGTAATGACAGAGAGGGAAGACATGCAGCAAAGATCATCAGGCTGGAATTGAACCTGTGACGGCCGCGTCGAGGACTAAAGTCTCCTCATGTGGGTTGTCCTCTACCCTTACACCACCGCAGCTTCTGTGTCCCTGGTGAGGTTTCTGTCAAGATGTCAGATGTAGCATATGAACACAGCACTGAACTTAATTGTTTCAAATACACTTTTGAGAGAACACTTTAAGAAGTGTACTCTAAGAATACTCTTTTTCGAGAGTTCTTAATTATTAATTTTCTTCATTTATCATTTGTCTTTATTCAGTGTACAGGATCTTTGAAAAACTAAAACAGCATGTTAAAACATACATTTAAAATAATTTAAAGTCCAGCCGTATTTTAAGTACAATGTGAGTAATAATGTACTTTTGGATATTTTAATTCTTTTTAGTTTGGAACTTAAAAGTTTTGGTTGATTTTAGAATTTAATCAAAGAGATTTGAATTATTTATTAGACAAAAGTAAATGATTTGAGTAATAGTGACTTAAATTGGTCATGTTAAACACACTTAATGAATTAAGTTTTTAAAAAATCTTAATAAATTGAGTTGGATAAACATAAAGCTAAACAGGTGGATGTTCATCCAACTATTTAGCTGGATGAGAGTTGTCAGACTTAGGATTCAAAACCGGCATTGAACTCAATTGTTTCAAGTAAAGTCAAAGTAAAAAGTTTTTTTTTAAGTTAGTTTAGTTAATTTAAGTTAGTTAGATTTGTAACTTTTAAGTTAATTGAACACAAAAAAGTAAGTTTTTATCACTAACCCAAATGAATTAAGTGAGATTAATTTAGTTAGTTAATTTAGTCCATAAAATGAACGACACACAAAACCACTTTTTATTAGAAAGATATCACAATCCACTGTCTTAAGCAGTGCTTAATGTAGTACTTAATTTAAAATGTGATAAACCCCAGCCAATAATAAAATCCTCTCACCCACAGCTCAGAAAGGAGAGGAGGAAAAGGGATGTGACAAACAGCATCCACTGATTCAACATTGATCGGATGTTGATCAGACGTTGGTATTTCATCATTCAAATTTGACCAGAAAACAACATTTATTCAATGACGTCTTCACCATTAATTGTCGACCTTCACCAACCTTTTTGACCATAACTCAACATTGAATTACCATTACTTGCTGTCTGGGGAGGATCATTATAGCAAATGGTGGAATTTTGTGGAAATTTTCCTGGTCCTCACTTTTTTGCAGTTGTTCTGAACTCAGTTAGTTAGCACCAAAACTTTAGTGAATGCAAAGTCCTAATATGGGTACATATAGGAATATCTGTGGGCACACTAATGAACACTTTCTTTCTATTCATAAATGCTCTATTTGTGTTTTTGTTTTCCATCTTGCAATACATACTCCCAAAACACGATTTCTATTTGACATGCTCTATATCCATTAATAATCTTCCCATTTGTGGCGTGGCATTATGGCTAGCTAAATCTTACAGGCTTACAGATGTGACAGTGTGAGGGATTTACCCCGCCCTAATTGGTGCTGATTTTTTTTGTACTTCTATATTTTAATTTATCTGGTAAATGTATTTCATGTCTGGAGGAAGTAACTGACTTTATTTAGTATTTTGTTTTAATCATTCTCTCTTCTCGTTGAGGTTACCTGGTCATGTGTTGCCATGGAAGCGCGCCCATGAGCAGTGCTGACAAGGTGTTTTCAATCAGCCTCACTAGGGAAATCCATTGTTTGAGAGGGAGGGGAGAAGTTTTTGGATTTTGTTTAGCCCCAGATTGTTTTTGTTTTAGTTTTGAAGTTGTTTTAGTTAATTGTAATTGTGTAAATATTTTTGTAGGAATATATTCTAGTACAAATTCGTTTTTTCTATCTGGAAATGTAACTGTTGTCTCTACCCTTTAATTAGTCCTGGTAGGATCAAACCTTTAAAAGCCAGGTGTTTTAGATCAGAGGGAGACTCTCCCTCTTGTTGATTGAATGCATGTTATGCTGTGAACTGGATTGTAAAGTTTCATGAACTGCAAAAAGAAAAAATTCAGAGCTTTACAATTTCTGGATCCTGTCTGATTTTCCATCGCAAACCAACAGACATACAGCTCGGCTCTCAGAAAAGGACTCAGGTGTTGCCCTTAAGCTGCAGTTCCTCCAGCTACAATCCAGATGTTTAATTCTTCATTGTTGCTCAGAACAAGCAGATGTTTTGGTGGAATTGGTCTGGTCTGCTTACAGATGGCCTTAATCAGATTTTATCCATGTTTTGGACTCATGATCCAGTTAGAAGTCCATGCTTAGTCAGATCCAACTAATCCAGGCACGTGTGGCACATGGCAACTTGTTATTTTCCCAGATACTTCATCAGATGGCCAAAAATTGTCATTTTATAATGTAATATCACAGTGCAATTAGTAAAATATCATTTTGAAAACATGTAAAGTTATAAGATGTGATTGTAGTTCAGCTTCCTGATAACAGAAATATTGTTGGCTGTACAACTCCCTCTAGGAAAATACTGCAGCACATTTTATTTCATGTGGTTAGTGCTTTTTGCATGTAGTGGATAAATGAACAAAACAAGCTATTTACAGTGGAATGAACAAAATAAAAGGGATATTTGGCTACCAAGTGCCTGTACCCTAACAAGCTTTAAAGGTATCAACGCACACACAGGTTGTTTTGCCGTCTGTCGTGGAGAGTGGACTACTCTCTGAAGCACATGACATCTTGTGCAAAGGGTCAATAAGTTGCTCTTCTGTTCATGTGCTGTTTTTCTCACTGACTGAATGTTTAGACTTTTAATGGCGAGCTGGGGACAGTCCTGTGTTCAGGATCAGTAGATAAACATAAGTTCCTAGTGAATTAGGCACAGACGGATAAATTCCATATATTTCAAATGTCTCATAAATATGTTTCCCAGCCCTAAACTAAATCCACACTCTGTGATCTGTTCAAATACAGATATAACTATTTGTGAAGATGACCTTATCAGTTTATGATGCTTTGCTTGTTCCATTTGAATGTAACTAAAGGTATTTGCTATGTTGTGTGTTTTCTTCCTCAGAGACTGTGATGTCAGTCAGATAAACTACATGTACGCTCAGTATGTTAGAAACACCATGCAACCTCTCAACATCACCGACGTCACCAAGGACCTGCGCTTCCCTTGGACAGTCTGTGCCTCACACTTCCTCACTTTTCTTTATTTCATTTTTTTCCCATTCCTATTAAGTAATCCCCTTTGTTATTTAACAGTGTGAGAGCCCTGATTGTCGGATAAAAAGTTTGCTCTGCACTCCAATCAGAAATGGCAAGAAAGACAAAGTCATAGGTATGGGCCTTGTTGCTTTCTTTGTTTACTAGCCCAAATTTCACCATGTTGGGATTGAATCTGGTAGACCAGCTCAAGGTTCAGCAAAACAAGGGATTTTTTAAAATAAATGCTACAGGTAGACTGTAGCATTTAGCAATAAACTCTAAACTCTATAGCAATAAACTCTACTGCACCCATTGACTTTTAAAGTCTCATGACTGAAACATGTCCAGGGTTTTCCATAGTGGTGGCAGTGTAATGCTAGTGGGGGTGATTTACTAAATTTCCATGTAAGAACCAAATTGAACAATTTGTGTTTTGTGTGTCTGCTTGCGTGTGTGCGTGCTTGTAGGTGTGTGCCAGTTGGTGAACAAAACGGACGAAGCGTCAAGCACCGTCAAGACCTTCAACAGAAACGATGAGCAGTTCTTGGAAGCGTTTGCCATCTTCTGTGGCCTTGGCATTCAGAACACACAGATGTATGAGACTGTGGAGAGAGCCATGGCCAAACAGGAGGTCACTCTGGAGGTCAGCCCCGCTTACCTTGTTCAGATCTGGAAGAACACATTGGATCCCGCCTAGTCATGGTTCAGTGTTCAAAGATTTTTTTGTGAAAAGTATCTCCAAATTATCTGCAGAACATATGCAGATTTTTTTTGTACAGCATATCTCAAATATTTGAAAGAAAATGGGAAGCTGAATGACAGTGTTGGCTGACATTAAAGCACCCAATCCAGGCGTTCATATTCCTTGGCACTGATTGGCTGTGCCCCCAAGAATGGAGATAGATAGGAATGTCACGGTCCAATATTGATATTGGAAAACAGTCTGATATCACCAATTTTGAATATCAACTACTCATGATTACAGTGGCCTATTAAACACAGCACACAGGTCAGGGAGAAAGTTCTGAAGAAATTAAAGCAGAGTTGACTTTTACAACAATATTGCAACATTTGAAGATGTCACATCTTGTCTCCAAAATATTTTCTTTGTTTGGGACACAAAGGGGGAATGGGCCAACTGAAAGTCGGAGGGAGTCAGGGAGTCTTCATATTTGGAATAGAATGACTTGAGTTTCTCTTTATGTTGAGTCAGAAATTACCCATTTCTTTTAATTATTGTTCCAACTATACACTGTGTGCACAATTATAATTTAGTTTTGATGAGTGTTATGGAAAAGAAGGGTGGCTGTAAGGGTCACCGATTTATTTTTTAAATGTCAGAAATATTTGTCAATTTTGAGTTGACAATAAACAAGTGAGATGAGAAAAGTTTCAGTTTTAATTCAGCTGCATAATAATTCTGCGCATACAAAAATATTGTATTAAGAAAGCCAAAATCTCATTTTTATTTTCTGAAATATTCAGTTTCGAGATAATTAACATTTTGGATTGACCGAGAGCGCTGTAGTTGTTCCACAATAAAACTATTCCTCAAAGCTACAACTAGCACGATACTTGTGCACTCAGTGTATAACAGTATCTTACAATACATGGCTCATCAGAATAAGTAAACTACAGGCAGAAATGAGACCAGTTTACAATTATCCTTTGGATAATTTTGTGCCTGTTTTTGTATATGCGTTTCCATTTTATCTCTCCTGGTTGTGAAGTATTTTAATAACATAAGGGATTAAACAACAGTTATCAAGCGTATCTATAGGTAAAACTGTTAGTGAAACTCAGTTCAAATTTTAAATTGACCTAATTGCAGGGTCTGTAATTGATTGATCACAATTAATTACGTTTTATTCAAACACATTTGAAAACCCTTTTTTGCCCCTAAATTATTGAACAAACAGAATCACATTGATGTAATTATTTAATTGAAAGTAATGTGGTAAAGTCTCCCCCCTGCAAGTATTCAG